AGATCATATTTCCCCCTGCCACCCCAAACAACATTGGGCTAGAGTACTGTACAGTATCTGTACTGTAGCCTACAGTACAAAAAGTACTGTATCAGACAATGACCGATGCCATTGGATCAGAGCGCTGTCAATCACTGCCCGATTCAACTTTGGCAATGTAAAGCCAATTCCTGATTAATTTGCGATGCAGAGTTTTTAAAAGAGGAGAGACAGGACTTGACCACATTCCATGTCTCTATTCATAATATGTAAACACTCAATTATTTTGAAGTATCACCCTAGGCGCAATATTTATTCTGCAAAATGCAACAAAATGCTTTTTCTGTGTCCATATTTGAGCAATAATAATGCAAAAAAGAAAAATGTTGAATTTTCAATAATCTTTAATAATAAATATATGTCCAAATGCAAACCCTAATACATGCAAGTAATTATGACTGAAAACATCCAGCAACTAGGGAATACACAGCCATGGATAAATGTTTATAGGGCTATACAGCCATCTACTGGTTACACAACAGTATTACAGATGATAAATGGTGCATGACTCGGAGGTAAACATTTAGTACTGTAAAATCCCTTAAAACATTTATATAATTTGTTTGAAATAATTAATTTAAGTCTGCAACTTGTTACTGCATGTGGGAGTTCAAAGCAGTTTGTATTGTTAGATTATAATACATTTCCTTTCTCATTTTCCAGGGAGTTGAGCAACTTTTCCATAAACAAAATTCTGATGCTGACAGAGGATGGAGTGATAATACCAGAGATCAACTGTCTCCATCAGACAATAATGTTGCTTTGTTCAGACATATCACCTTTGAATGACTGGGATCCTGATCTTCAGACACCTGATGTATTTTATTTTAATATTATAAAATAGCAAATATTTTAATTTCTTTGGAGCTCTAGATTAAAACAAACACAGTTTACAAGTACACAAGAGGTTGCAGTGTATTCTTATTAGTCTATGCTGATCATGGATTAGCATACCAACAGCATATGAATGGGATAGTTCACCCAAAAATAAAATTCTCACTTATTTTACTCACCCTCATGCTGTCCCAGATGCATTTTACTTTCTTTCAACAGATAAATACGAATTAAGATTTTAAGGAAAGTAATCCATCTCTGCGAGTCCTAAAGATGCTTTAAAAACCACACACAGTGACCGTGATGTCCATGCGACCTCAGTGGATGAATCAATGCCTTCTGGAGTGAAACAATAGGATAAGAAAAATACTAATAATGTAAACCGTATTAAAAATCACTTCCGACCAACTGTCATACATGGGTTACAATCCACTTGTCTTTTATATGGACTCACAGAGATGGATTATTTCCTTAAAAATCTTTGTAATTATGCATTTTGTATGTATATTATGAGAATACTGTGCATTACATGTATAGTATGCAGTTAATGTTTTGTGAATTCTGGTCTTTTCTGTCACAACATAATCGCATCCAAGACTTTCACTTTGATACTTGTGTATATGCTGTAGTGACAATAAAGAATGTAAATTTATTTGATTTTTTAATTAAATTCATTTAACTGATTTTATAAGTCATAATTGAACCTGTTGATGATTGTTCAAATATATTTACCATTTTAAATATTAGAAGATAATATTAACTAAATGAAATAAATAAAATTATCAGCATGATTAAAAAAATGGCAACAAAAATATTCTTTGTGTGAAATATGTAATGAAATGCCCTTTGAGGTCTGTATCATCTGACAGCATGCAAGCCACGATTGTAATTTTCATAGTTTAAATTCCTCTTATTTAAGTGATCATACATTTTGATGGTGTAAATGCATATGGTAACAATGAGAAATTTGATGGCCATGGTTGCCAACCTTGATTACCTGGTTGAAGTGAAACTTTCTTGACGGCTGAATAAATCACAGACGTATACTAGTAGGCTATTCTCTTGCACAACCTAATCAGAGCCTAACATGCAAAAAAATCATCAGGAATAAACAAATATTCTGCTAAAACATTGGACACAATATTTTAAGTAGGCATATACAGTAGGCCTACTTTGATGTACAATTACACCTGAATAGACTGAAGAGATCTCTTGCGCTCCTAAAATGTTCTGTTGACAAAGTAGTAGCAGCAGCAGGTAAATACAGATAAAATTCAAAAACAAACATAACTTAATATCACTAAAATTAAATAGAAAGATGCGCTTACAGACGCTCACATCCACACAAGTAAACGCAACACTGTAGAGTTGTGACGTTCGCGAACGAACCGATTCTTTTGAACGGCTCATAAACATGAACGATGGGAGCCGAGTCGCGGCTGGAGGGGAGCCGTTCTTTCTGTCGTTCTTTTTTCATGCGTGTTTCACACAGATGCACACAAATTAGCTCCTCAGTTATAGGGGAAGGGGCGCACCCAGCGCAGGGGTGCTACTTAGTGATGGGCGGATCGATCCTAAAGTATCGATACTTCGATACTGACGTGGTATCGAAAAGGATCGATCCTCACATAAAAATATCGATCCAAATGGGTATTTTTTTTACCAGTATTTTTTTATTAATTTAGCACGCAATTCAGTGCGAAAAATAAGCGAATGTTAGCGGGTAATTGTGTAGGATAGAACCTTTTCTCCTAGTCATCTGTATACAAGACGAAACCAATCAATCACAGAGAGCGTTCGCTGCTGGTGCTTCGCTGAGCTCACAGGCCCAGTGCGTTTGGGAAACGAAGCCTTGCTTAGACGACAGAGAAACAATCGGGAGTTATTTCGCAATAAACAAACCAAAACTGTACATAACGATTTAAAATGTTGACGTCAGTAAGATCTTTTTTATGAAATTAATATTTTTATTCAACAAGGATCGATGCATTAAATTGATCAAAAGTGACAGTCAAGGGTTTTACACTGTTAAAAAAAATCTACTTCATATAAATGCTGTTCTTTCAACTTTGTTCATCAAATAATTCTGCATAAAATGTTTCATAGTTTCCGACAAAATATGAAACTGTTTTCAACATTGATAATAATAAGAAATGTTTCCTGAGCAGCAAATCAGCATATTAAAATGAATTATCATCATGACTGGAGTAATGATGCCGAAAATTCAGCCTTGATCACATGAATAAATTACAGTTTACTATGGCATAGAAAACAGATAGCCTATGTTAAATTGTAATATTACAGTTTTTACTAAGAGAAATAAAAATCTTACAGACCCCAAACTTTTGAACAGTAGGCTAGTACTATAATTAGGGTAGTTTTGTAAAAGTCACTGACTAATTAAAGGGGAGTTGAGAGCACAAATCACAAAATAGGACTAGTAGTCATGAAAACGTGTTCAGATTTAGCATATTAATGATGCATTCACCTCATAAATCATGACACACTGCTCTAGCACAGGCAAGTGCATACAAGTTCAAATGCATGCTTTTAAAATGAAAAAGTATCGGTATCGGTATCGATATCGGCGATACTGGCCCTGTATTTACTTGGTATCGGATCGATACAGAAATTTGCAGTATCGCCCATCACTTTCTACTGCCTAACATCATGATGATAGTTGTGCACGCGCGCGCATCCTTTACGTGAGTACTCCAGTGGGAAAAAACCCTACGTGCTGTCATTGGGTAGGAGCAGAGCCAATGACTTATGCCGTCACATGGTTACTCCAGTTAAAAACAAAACAAAAAAAAAAACACTAAAGTAACACTAAGTTCCTTTGTAAATAAATACAAAGGAACTGCTTTGTATTTATTTACATTGCATTTTGTGTTCATGTTATTGTATCTACAGTATATATTTACAACTTTAAATAGTTTTTGTTTTTTATCAAAATGTTCTTGTGGTATTGTATGAATAACATAAGTCAACATAGCTTTACACATACACATACTTTGTACTAAAGGTAAATCCAAAATAGTGATATCACTTTCTAAGCAGAGGGATGTTGTGCAACCCTATGGAATATAGTCCACACATGACAAATGAGGTAATAATCAATATTTCAGAATAATTCAAACTCAGATATTGGTGTGTGATATCTGAGTTTTAATTAATTGACTACAAATCTCACCTCATCATTCCTCCCAGTGATTATTTCCAGGATAAACTGAGATTCCCCCAAGCTGGCTTCTTTAAACTGACTAAATATTTAAAAAGAGCCAAAAGAGCCGTTCTTTTGAACGGCTCTTTGAAAGGAACGGATCGCAAAGATCCGGATCTCCTCAAAGAGCCATAAATCCCATCTCTACAACACTGGCGTCTTCACTTCCAGGTCAAGAAGCTGTCAATCAAAAACTCAGTAGCCAATGAGAACACACTGCTACTAGCCCCGCCCCCACGAGAGAATTGTGTCAGAACAGCGAACGAAAACTCAGGGAGCGTAAACGAAACCTTCAGAAGCGTAAATGAAAACTCTTGAAGCGCATTTGTAAGTTTAGATCAGTAAAAGAAATATGAGGAATAGTTAGCAAAACATGCAGTGTATTAAAAACAAAGTAAAAAAATTGCTTGCGATTCATTCTTTTTCAGTTTCAAAGATATTTTATTCAATTTCAATTTTTATTTTCATTAGTTTCTTGAAAAGTTACGTTCATTATTAGCGGCACAAAAATAATTCCATAAAAATTCAGCTTTGATCACAGGAATAAATAACACTTTACTATATATTCACATAGAAAAGAGCTGTTTTAAATTATTGTAATAATATTTAATATGAAGGTTTTTTGTTTTGTTTTTGTTTTTAATCAAATAAATGCAGCCTTGATGAGCAGAAGAGACTTTTAAAAAAAACATTAAAAATCTTACCGATCCAAAACTTTTGACTGGGTGCGAAAAGGACCCGGAAATGTAGTCGCAGAGCGTTTGTTTGTAAACGGTTGCTTAATTTCTAGAGAAAGTCCAGATAATGTACACCCAGCGCTACATTAACGTTGAGCTGCATGTGGGCAAAGAATATAGAAGAACATATACGTATATATATAGTCAATATACGTTCTTTGATGTGGGCGTGTGCGTCATCCGGAAGTGAATGTGCGGGGACTATCTGTGGTGAGTTGGTTGCTATGCGACGTGTCCTGGAAGTGAATGTGTCTTGTTGTAGAGCGTTGAATCATGGCTGCTTCAACAGTCAATAATGATAGCCGTCACAAAAGACAAAAATGCAGCGAGAAGCTGCCTTTACAAGATAGAGAGATTATTAAACCCTCCATAACAGAGCTCACCAAAGAAGTGCGGACCAACATCCTCTGTACGGTGGAAGGATGCGGGAAGATTCTGCCTAACACTCCAGCACTCAACATGCATCTGGTCAAGTCCCACAGAGTCAAGGTACAACACCATGATACATTTGCTATTTAAAGTTTTTATGTCTTTTCGCCTGAGTTTTCTCTTCTGTTGTTTAGTCTGTTTATTGTAATTGTCTTTCGTGCGTGAACTCAAATTAATAGTATTTGAATTAGGCCTAGTGAACTGTTACTGTGACAGTAGTATTAGGAGAAGTGTTGTGCACCAGTAACGTTAAATGTTTTATTTTAGGAAAGCGGAAGACAGGATTAATACAACTTTAGTATTTTCTTACATAATGTGATGTATTTACATTGTATCTGTCATCATGCTGTTAGGTGGTCGGTCTGTGCATTGTTTAGATCAGGGCTGGGCAACTCTGGCCCTCGACATCTACTTTTTCCTGTAGAGTTTAGTCTAACGTTAACCCTCATCAAATACACCTGAGTCTTCAGGATAACTCGAAAGATACAGGCAGCAGGTGATTTTCAATCAAATGTTTTATTCTACTTTAAGCACAAAGCTAGCTATATAACATGCACTAGTTTTGTATTTTACACTCAATGTCAATGGTAACACTTTACAATAAGGTTCATTAGTTAACATCAAAGTATTAACTAACACGAACTAACCGTGAGCAATACATTTGTTACTGTATTTGTTCATCTTTGTTAACGTTAGTTAAAAAGGGGGGGGTGAAACACTCAGTTTCAGTCAATCTCATGTTAATCTTGAGTACCTATAGAGTAATATTGCATCCATCATATCTCCAAAAAGTCTTTAGTTTTATTATATTTATAAAATAAAGATAGGCTGTACCGAGTCTTTCCGGAAAAAGCCGAGCGGGTGGAGGCGTGCCGTGTGGGCGGAGCTAACACGCCGATAGACACACAGATATTTGAAGCAGTTCTACTCACCGCCTGCGGTTCCAACGCAAGACCGTTAACCTTTAGTGTTGGGACTGCTCCATCCTTGATAACTAAACGAGAACAAGACCACTTGCACAACTGTGTTGATGTTCTGGAAAAACAAACTCCATCCACTGGTCCCTTAACGCTTGGGTCTTTGGGAATCTGTGCAGTGTTGTCTTGCCTTGGCAACCGAAAACACACTTCTTTGGTGACATATTCGAGCGCAGCCGATGCACAGCGCTTTGATGGGCATAGGTTACGGCTATCGCTTTACAGCTGCGCGCGCGCCCTTCCGAGAGAAGTGCCCTTAGGACCGTATAAGGAAATTCCGGCGCATCTGACGTCATACGCGCCCATACTCGAAAAAAACTTTCCGAAACTTGTGACAACCAGGAAGGAGTATTTTGAGAACAGAAATACTCAATCAAACGTACAACTTAATTTTTGAAACTTTGTCCATGTTTAGCATGGGAATCCAACTCTTTAACAGTGTAAAAAACTCACTATGCATGAAATAGCATTTCACCCCCCCTTTAATAAAAAAAACAGTCATTCATTGTTTGTTCATGTTAGTTCACAGTGCATTAACTAATGTTAACAAGACTTTTTAATAATGTAGGCTATTAGTAAATGTTGAAATTAAAATTAACAAAGCAACTTATTGTAAAGTGTTGTCATGACAGTTTACTTTGAACTCTACTTTTACTAAACTAAAATTATAGTTACAAACCCCAGATAAGAAGTATTTCAGAAATGATTGTGGTTGACTGCATTTGCATAATATTAAGAGAAACCACACTGTTAATGCGATCCTGAGGATGTTAAACACCAACCATCAATGCATTGAATGAGAGCTGCTAGACGAGCTGACAGCCTGAGTGACGTAACCCAGGGCTCCCCGTTTGGAGTCTGATTTCTGAATAAGAAATTTCTAGCCATGAATAATTTCAGCTGTTAGAATTTTGCTGTTTGTTTATTTGTTGTGCAGCAAGGGAAAGCAGTGCACAGTTTTTCTTCTTGTTGCAACATGACTCGTAAATGCATAAAATCCAATCTGATCGTTCAGACTAAAAAGCATTAAAGGAATATCGTAGTGGCCAAAAGTAGTGACAGGCCTTGAAAAATGGACATCTTCACTCGTTATTCAAATTTTATTAAACATTTGTTAAAGGGTTTGTAAGCATATTGCATAGTTGTGCTTGGAGGCAATTGTTTTATTTGATTAATAAAACTTTTAAGGTCATTAAAATGATCCTTTACGGACATCACTTTTGGCCACTACTATAGTTCATCCATAAATTATAATTCTTAAATGATTTACTTATCCTCATGCTGTTTTCAGATCATTTTCTGTCACTTGTGGGAAAATGAAGATATTTGAAAATACTTGGTTTAAAATTAGTACTTTAAAAAAAAAAATTATTACCAGTATTTAACGAGTTAAAATCAATAAAGTTGAATCCACCCTTATTGTGAGAATTTGATATCACTGTATCGTCCGCTAACTGACTAATAATTATCTCTGTATTTCCAATGTTAATCCCTTTTACAGTGTATCATGTAGCTACTCTCTTTATTGGCTTACTTTTCAATTATAATGGTAACCAAGAAAAACTTCCATGAATAGTTAATATAATAATTGAAGATTTCTAGGCTGTACAGCCAGTCAGATAAATCAACAGGAAAAATATGAGAACTATGAGATAGTTCTATGAGAACACCCTCAGTGTGATGATTGGCTGTACAAAATCATTTCAATTTATTAGATGATGTTGCTAGCACCATCCACTAAGGTATCGCATCACTGATGCCTCAAAAATAACATGCTTGCGGCATCACAACTGTTTTCTTCTTCAGGAAGACTGTTTATCTGTCTGTGCCTATTTCTTTTTTTCTTTTCTCTCCATGCTTTGGATTTCATTGTGTTTGGTGACCTACGTTGTGTAGATTATTTTCTTCAGGGTGAATGCAATGGCTTTTCGACGTGTGTATCTCATATTTCCATAGCGTCAGCAACTAGTGCAGCATTGAGTACCTATGACAGTAGGGAACCAAGGTTACATGTAACCGAGATGTTTTTTGCCACTGACTGACACAAGCAATATCCTTGTTGTTTCTTTTTCATCTTTTAAAGTCATTTCTCACTGTTTCTTTTGATTTCAGGAGGGTCTGGTCAACCCTACAGTAAGAAAGGACATTAAGGATTCACAAAAGCTCTACTGTTGCCCAATAGAAGGCTGCCCAAGAGGACCACACAGGCCCTTTTCTCAGTTTTCGCTTGTTAAACAGGTACTTGCCATTGTTATATGCATGTTTCATTCTATTATTTTTTTCCTCACTGTTCCTTAAGCTAGGGCTGGGAGATATGTCAAAAATAAGAACACAATGTTTTTTTTCCATATTGATCAATATTGATATTTATCACAAATTCAATATATAATTTGATAATGCTGCCAGCTTGAATATCTTGACAATGACTAAGCCTAGAGAAACCAGAGTTTCTCGTTTATTACATTTTAGAATATATGTTAAAGGAGTAGTTCACTTTTTAAAAAACTTTTGCTGATAATTTACTCACCCCCATGTCATCCAAGATGTCCATGTCTTTCTTTCTTCAGTCGAAAAGAAATTAATGTTTTTGATGAAAACATTCCAGGATTTTTCTCCATATAATGGACTTCAATGGTAGCCAAACGGTTCAAGGTCTAAATGACCGTTTCAGTTCCGCTTCAAAGGGCTTTAACCCTCTGGGGACCAGAAACGCGCCGGCGCGTTTTGCTCGTTTTTTTTCACATAGCAGAAAAATAGACTTAAAGTACTACCATCATTTCTGTTCATATAGAGTTAAGAAATATGAAAAAATAATCTGGTAAATGTCTACTTTTTTATGTGCCCACATACAATCGAAATAAAATATTGTGCTTTTGTAAAATAAAGAAAATAAACAGGGTGTGCGTTCTGCCTCTCAGTCACCGTGAACTTTTTTTCTGGAGCACGTCTCTAATCTTCAACACAACTCAGCTAATACTATTCACCCAGCCATAAGCAATATATCTTTTAAATCATTTGAGTTTGTACTTTTAAATGATCCGATTCAAAACTAAAATTAATATTCTCCGTTTATGTCATCTATATAAAAAGAGAGACGTGTCAGCCCGTCTCATTATCGTTCTCGAGCTGATTATCTCTGGTAATGTGACACGCCCACGGAGAGCACGCGCTATTCAAACGCAAATATGTGAAGCAACACATTGAGACGCGTTAACGCCCATAAACTCTGAAAACACACATTATTTTTTAGTCAGATTAATCTACTGTCGTCTTGCGCGGCTATATGAGGAACAATCCTGGGACATTTACCACTGGGTTTATTTTCAATTCGAGGATGAACAGATTCAGCTGAGAAGTAAGTGTTTTTTGCAAGTGCTTTGTTCTAATCGCGATATAGAATAACGTAGTGTCTGTAAACGGAAAAATAGCATACTGTTTAAAATGTGAATCATGTTTGTGTGTGTGTGTGTGAATGAATGAATGAATGAACGCACAGATACGCACTGTTACAGACTAAATAACAGACAACATTTCGTTGACTCGTTTTGGATAAAGTTTTTACTCTAAAATAGACATCAAATAAGCTTTTTTTGGAGTTTCTGCTCATATGTTAAATATATAGTATGTTTTGTCAATAAACTAATCAACTAAGATGTTATAGTGTTTGTTCAAGCTATATCAAAATAATGAATCCTCAACTGTGAAATATGTATGATCAAACTAAGACATTTATGGAGAAAGACAATTTTCTTTTCAAGATATTCCAACTCTAACTTTGAACTTTGAACTGAAATAAAACCATGTCTATATGGTGAAGGGTGTGTGATAGAAGTGTCCAGACGTATGCACCCTGTATTTTCCTTATATAAATCCAAACAATCTAAAAGCCATTCTTTTTTAAATCTCCTCATTCTTTGTGCAAGGCTCCTGTAATGATATGGCCTGATAGCACCTAATAGGGCCATTATGGGGAGGGTCTTGGTCTTTCTCAGGTGTGGAATGCCACACATATTAATGAGAGATCACGCCTCCTGCATAAAGCTTTCTCAAACAAAACACGTCATTAAAAATGTAAAAGACTTTATTGACTTATCTGAATGAGTAGTCAGGATGATTCTCACATAGTTTTGGAGCAAATATTCTAGGCTATGTGATACAATTTTCAAAAGTCTTGTGAAGAAATAATCAATATGTGTTTTGTGGTCTTATTTCAGCAACTTTCATTTTTATTTTTTTCAATAACCACGCATAAACATTATTCTATTAAAAATACAAACATGTACATACATGTTGCTCAGATATCATGGTAGCCAAGTTTGTGCTATATAGAGTGAATTTACACCTTTGCCATTAACATGTTTATAAATAACTGAAAAAAGCACAAATGTCAGTGCATGTCAAAACATCCCAAGGGCCCCAAAAACACTCTGGTCCCCAGAGGGTTAAACGATACCAGACGATGAATAAGGGTCATTTCAAAAATAAATAAAAAAGTTAAAGTTTTATAGGCACAAATGCTCGCCTTGTGAACTCTCCTGTTCGAACTCGTTCATCAAAATGAACGAATCTTTTTTCGCGTCATTGACTCGTTCATCAAAATGAACAAATCTTTTTTCGAGTCAATGAACAGGAGAGTTCGCAAGGCGAGCATTTGTGCCTATAAAACTTTAACTTTTTTATTTATTTTTGAAATGACCGATCGTTTCGCTAGATAACCCTTATTCATCGTCTGGTATCGTTTAAAGCCCTTTGAAGCTGCACTGAAACGGTCATTTAGACCTTGAACCGTTTGGTGCCCAGCAAAGTGCATTATATGGAGAAAAATCCTGGAATGTTTTCATCAAAAACATTAATTTCTTTTCGACTGAAGAAAGAAAGACATGGACATCTTGGATGACATGGGGGTGAGTAAATTATCAGCAAAAGTTTTTTTTAAAAGTGAACTAATCCTTTAACAAAAATAGAATAACGTAATGTAAACTTTTAACTGAAACATGCTTTTTCTGCCTTAAAATAATAGAAGTTAGGTTGCCTTGTAACTTATTAAAATGGTTGCAGTAAAAATCTCAAATATTTGAAGAGGTACAACCAATACAAAAATTATATAAAAAACACGTTATGTGCAATTAAAATGTTTGTACAACTCAATTTGAACTATTTGAGCATTGATTATTAAATAATTGTGATTAACTAAATTTTATTTTGATTATTAATTTATTTTTTATTTATTTTCGGTTTCCAGCCAAATCCATCCGCAATTTTTGGTTTAGGCCCAGAATTTTCGTTTCTTTGCATCACTAATAAAAACTTATTCTGTGTGAACTGGCCCTTAATCTGCTCTTCGTTACTTTTTAAGAAACCCAAACCACTTCCATATAGTTGATGTTATGGTACCTCTTTTTCAACAATTTGCTCACCTTGGATGGTAACGCAAGTTCGGCTTCTCTTTCGTTCTTGTTTCCTTTGACGGCTCCCTGCAGACTGACTGGCTGTTTTTGCAATTATTTCTGGTGTGTGATATATAGACTAGTAGGGTTATGCATATCAAGTAAAAATATCCAGAGCTTATCATCATTAACGACATCAGTTTTATTTTCGATCTCAATATGATAGTTTATCTCCCAGCCTTTCTTTCAGTAAACTGACACCGTTTCATTTTTATACTTTCCTATAACTCAGTGGTTCTCAAAATGGGGTATGTGAGATGACAGAGAGGGTACACAAACAAAATGCTGAGTTTTGCCATTCTATTATTCTGCCCTGTGGTTTCTCCAGTTAATAAAATTAAATCCAAGCATGCATTTCTAACAGGCAAAATGCCGCATCTAATGTAAAAACAGGAAAAAGGTAGTGCTGTAAAAGATCAAATTAAATAATCTTTTGCTGCCTAAACTGACTGCATCCACACAAGCAGTGTGGCGGGGGCAAGACCATGAAGGGCTTTAAATGTGTTAAGGAGTATCTTGTATTGAATACGAAAGCAAACGGGTAGCCAATGGATTCTGTGTGGAATAGGAGTAATGTGGGAAGAGGACCATAACATTTTTTTATTTTCATTTAATACATCTTATAACATTATTTATGACTTTGTAATTGCATTCATACCACCTTTATACCACCATACCACTAGTATCACCTGGCTTTACATTTATAAAGGTAAAAAATGCACCTTAAAATCAATTTAAGAGGGGAAAATATTGTCCCTTAATGGTAAAGGTGTGACTGCAGTCTAAGTGGAAGAGAGGGGGTACGCAGAAGGATGTTAAGTGCCTCAGGGGGTACGCCAAAACGTTTTGGAACCACTGCTATAACTTGATATATATTTTATGTCCTGCTAGGAAAAAAACTGCTAACTAACATGTTTTCTAATCTTACTAATGGCATAGCACTTTATGAAGATGCATGCAGAAAAGAAGCACAAGTGTTTGAAGTGCAGTAATGGCTACAGCACTGAGTGGGACCTGCGGAGACATGCTGAGGATTGTGGGAGGACATACAGCTGTACTTGTGGTTGTCCTTATGCCAGTAGAGCAGCACTTCTGTCTCATGTCTACAGAACAGGCCATGAGGTTCCCAAGGAGCACAGGTACTCCGTTTATCTGGCTAAGAATCAAAACTGTGTTTTAGTGCTGGTATATTTTGTATTGGGGAAAACATGAAAAAGATTGTATGATTTCCCCCGTGGCTTGCTTAAATCATGATAATAATCTTCTTTCTAGTGGATATCATGTCTGACCTCACCTAGGACATTATCTTTTATTAATATCTTATGTCCTAGTTTAAGGTTGTTAATCATAGTGTGTCTTATTTAAAATGCTCAAAGTGTCAGTATTTGTCTTCTAGGTATCCACCAGTGAAAAAGAGGAAGATGGAAAGAATGTCAAGCAGTGCAGCAAATGGTATGCCTAATGAACAAATAAACGAAATTCCAGACTCTAAGAACAAGCTCACTGAAGGAGCATTTTCAACCATACTAGTCTCTGAAGCCCCAGACAGAGCACAACACAACACCAACCAACCTGGAAACTTCCAGAAGCTCCTTCTCCCGAAGCCCAAATTGGCCCTAGTCAACGTTCCTGTTATGCAGTTCACCCACCTGCCTGTTCTCCTCCCCTCTGCAGAGAGTAGTGCCTTGAGGTTGTTGGTCTTGTCTGTGGATGCACAAGGGTCCGTAAACACTGTGCATATTTTGTCACCGTCGGTCGAAACAGCCATGCCTGATCTGAACAACAAGACTTTCAAAGAGACCTTTCCTGTACCTACATCGGGCCCAGAAACTTTTAGCACAGGAGTACAGGTCAATCTTGAAAGTCAAGTCTCTTTGGGATATCCAAACAACAAAAGCACTTCAACAAACATTCAAACTGACATCTCGTACCTCAACAAAGGGATGGATGCTGGACCAGTGACTGTTTCCCCCTGCTGTGAGGCCTCAGTATCCTCTTGCTCTCAGACAGACATCAGTGTAAGCGCTCAGATTCAGCTGCCTATTAGTGTGCAAACCCAGACACTACCCTCACGAATCAAAGCCACTTTTTCCATTGGGGCACAGACAGATGTTTTCAGTTTCTCGTCCTTTAATGTGACCCGAGAAACACAAACAAGCTGTTCTGTAGCTCCAATGCATGAAAGCCAGATGGACCAAGCGATGTGCACAAATCTTTTTGATACTGATACACTCAGTGTCTCTACTCAGACTGCAATGGCTGATGCGACTTTTAGAACCAGTAGTTTAGAAGATCATCTAACCAGCACTGGAGCAGGGCTTTTTGAGGACAAGGCTGCTGCATCCATGTGTTTTGGGGCCCAGACTGACATTTTGCACCAAAACACAGTTGCAGACAACCAGACTCAGACCATGATACTCTTTCGTGACCTTGAGAATATATTATCTGACACCATAACTGGGGCAGCTTCGAGCTGTGGTTCAGGTTTAGCTGCGCATGAACCGCATCACACTGGTATTGACTTTGACTTTGAGGAGTTCCTTAATGCAACACACATTCAGACTCAGACAGAAGAAAGTGGCTTGAACAGTCTGAACACAGAGACAACTTTGGAACTCCTGGACATTGAGACACAGACTGACTTCCTGCTCTTTGACAACCTTGGTAATGGGCACAACAGTGAGGTTGGAACAAGGGTGCAACCAAATGACCTGGAGCTGGAGATGTTTGACACCCAGACCCAGACAGACCTCAACTTCCTGCTAGAAACGAGTGGGCACATGCCTCTTGGGAGTATCCTCAGACAGTCTAGTTTCAGCATGAGCACGGAGTCCTCGGACACAGAAACACAGACTGAGATCAGGCCGGCTCCATTTTCTCTGCCTTGCTCCCATGATGGGCAGGTGAGACTCAGCAGTGCTGAAACTCAGACCATCTCCAGTTCCTTTCACAGCCTTGGCCACCTCTTCCACACTAGCAATGAGACCCAGACAGCAGTCGATGACTTTCTTTCAGCAGACTTGGCCTGGAACATGGAGTCTCACTTTAGCTCGGTGGAAACCCAAACGTGCGAGGAGCTCATCTCATTGTTTCGACACAATGAGAAAGCCAAAAGCTGAAGGATCCATCAAATGTGATTTGATTGGTTTAGTTTACATAATGGAGTCATTCCTAGTATCTCCCTCAGCAAGGGTGGCAGAACTTAAAAACAGTCCCTTAAAATCATCTAGAACTCAGTCTGTCAGATAATATTTGTATGAATACTGTAGAATCGTAGACATAATTCAACAATAAGGTATTGCATATCTGCCCAGATCTAAGGATGTATGAATATACCTTTGCAGCACTTTATTACCTCATTATCAATGTTCAAAATATATCGGTAGTCCTAAAAGTATTTTGTTTGTTGCTGTAGATCAGGTCAGAGCCTCTCGTGGGAATGTGTAGTAAGTTGGTACTGGTGTGTGTGTGTGTGTGTGTGTAAAAAACAAGTCAAGAAATCAGAAATTATAAACATTCCTTCCACATGTAAAATGTCTTGTCTTGTAGATATACTTTCCAGTCTAATGTTTAGATGACTTGAGTCTTATTGTCTTTATACGTTTTTTTTCTTCTAAACCTTGGGCTGTTTGTTTGCTTTGTGATGTATAACAACTTATGTTACATTTATTTGTGCAATGCTCTAGACCCATCTACTAGTCACTGTGAGTAAATTTGGGTCTTGATCCATGACAGAATTCATGTAAATATTTCTTGCTGACTGTTATGGCATATTAATTTTAATCTTTACATCCTAAATCAGATCAATTTGCATATTATGCATGTTTCAGATGTCACATTTCCTTAAAAAGAGGAGCTGGGACATTGCTCTTGTTTACTGTGATGTGCATTCTGTACTGTGAGTAGATTCAAATAAGTAAATCGCAAAAGTTTACAGTAAAACAAAACCTTTAATATTTCTTTAAAAGCATGTATCAATTTTGTTGGGATATGTTCTAATGATTTCAAATACCAGTTTAAACTTGCTGTTTAAACCTTTTTGTTGATGCCTTAATTTAAGTGTTAATATGCTTTTGATGGAGATACTGAAATCACAGTGCTGCTTAACGGAGGAGAAGCAAAATTGCTGTCCTTAGTTTGAGTTTTTATTTTCTTCATTTCGTAAGAGATTTTAATGTGTATATTTATTTGGTTTTGGTTATTTTGAATATTTCATCTCTAAGTGTGGTGTAAAATCACTAGCTCATTCACTACTCCTTGGCCTTACTACACTGAAAGCCAACCATAGCTTTATTTTCATTGTGTGTGTGGGTGTGTGTATGCGCACACACACACTTAATGTACTTAATGTATATATTGGAAATTCCACAAGTAGAATGTGACGCGGTGTCTGTTTCCCTTATGACGTTACATTGGCTGCTTCTCAACATTGTAACTGCAAAAGAGCTTTAGTATTTTCATGCCAAACATTAGAGACTCTCATATTCAACCACTACATTCATTAAAATGTTATTTAGATCTTGGAATAAATACTGCAAATGAATATGTGTTCATTTTGTTTAGGCAATGATGTCATAGTAAAAACTTCCTTTAGAAAACTTGAAAGAGTCAGCTAAGCTCGTGCATGCATTTCTTTTGTGCCAAGAATAACTTTTGTGTTGCTTTTTGTCATTGTCAACATGTTTCTAACTTAACTTGGTTTAAGACATTGTTTATAATTATGTTTATTAATATTGATATAATGATTATTTTTGTTATTTGAAGGCTTGTCATTTGTACTTTATGGCTATGTTCTGTTGTTTAGGCTATGCTGATGCACATGAAACCGCAAAATAAACTGCAGAGAAGATTTTCTTGGCCATTAATCGAATCAAGCATAATGTTGTTGTTTATATTACACTAATACCATAATGTGATTTATTATTTTCTTCTTTTCTCTATTATTGTCAAGAGCAAATATTATTAGTGTCAACAAATGATTCTGTTGTAAATCAAGTAATTTTGGCACATACAGCTGGTCACAGATTTTTAGGACAAATTTCCCAGTTGTCATGGAATCGTATTATTCAAAGCTACATACAAATGGCACAGGATATAAAGTACTATTCAGCTGTATAAGGACAGAAGAGACTTTACTAGTTTGCACACCTGTATTAAGCTGTTAATCAGAATCATATTTTTTTTTTACATTTTTTATTTTAAATGGCATGGTTCTGTAGCTGACTGTAGTAAAAGTATCCTGCAGTCTAAAAAAAAAAAAAAAGAACAAGCATACTTGGAAATCTCTTTGTTGCATAATCATCTTCATTTAGCACACATATAGTACAGTCTTATGCTGTTTATAAAAAAGCAATCACAACACCTATTTACCTGTACTCCATTAGTAATATTCACACAGCCATGCGAACTGTAGTTCCAATCAGCATTAGTCGATGATCTTCAGGTCTTATCAGATCTCTTGTTTTGTGGCCAGAATACAATCTATAACTGGTGTTGTTTCTGGTGGAAGGCCTTGTCAATTCTTCCTGCCTGAGGTTTCGGCCCACAGTGCTGGAAGGTAATTCATACTTATTTTGAAAAGTGATGTTAAAAGTTGGTAGCATTTGAGTGCTGTCCTGGGATAGCCAATGTTTTGTGTTGGGAGATCCCTTAAACCTGTAGCTGTTCTCTCCTGGGATAAAGTTTGTGAGGACCTCAACGGCATTTCCTGTGGCAGCAGCGGTGACTGCATCAGTGGCCCCGGTCATCATGGCCTTGGTGACTTCTGCTTGGTGCCAGTCTGTTGACTGTGCTCTTTTAAAAACACTGTTGCTCCTTAGGTTTCTGGACTCTCGGACAGGTGGCAACACATTAACGCTTCTGATGCTAAAAGCAACTCTCTTTTCCTTCAGCATTTGACATGGTTCGGTATGGTAATGGCAGACTGATGGTAATTTGTTTTGTTTACACTGTTCATCTCCAGAATGCAATTTGTTGATTAATGGCCCTGACATATTTTGCAGAGATAGGCTGAAAGAGTATAGTTCATCTGAGGAGGTAGGGGGACGAACGGTATTTTGAGTTTCCTTTGCAAGGTCCTGAAGTGTTGGGGCAGTCTTTCTAAAAGTTTTCAGAGCATTTCCAGCAGGGTAATAAATGGGCAGATCAGAAAGTTTAAGGTCTGCACACAGGAGACAGTGAGAGTCTATGATGTCTTGCTTGTTTTTCCCCTTCCTATGCAGTTGAAGTAATACAGCAAAGGGGGGCAATCTCCCCCAACCTTCAACCTGTTAAAAAAAATGCAGTTTGTAACTCTGAAATTATTAACAGATGCAATATTTAAAATGTGGGAACACTATTGAAGCTGCATCTGAAATGTATACCACAAAGACTTTACACAGAAAAATGCATTTTCTGTGACTGTTCAATTCTGCACCGAGAGAACTTGCATTTACACTCAGTATAACTTCAGAAATAATGTTATGTAGTTAATGTGTAAACATGAAACTATGCGTATACAATTGAAGCTTGTTTCCGCGACTTTTATCTCACAATTATGACTTTTTTTCCTCACAATTGTGAGTTTACATCTTGCAATTATGACTTTTTCTAGTTATGCCATAGTAATATATCAATTTGCAATTGCGTGTTATGAATTGCGGGCCGGGTTATAGGCTAAAGTCAGAACTGTGAGATAAAAACTCTAAATTCTGACTTTTTTCTAAGAATTGCGAGGTTTTTTTTCCACAATTCTGACTTATTTTCTTTGCATTCGCTAGCAAAACCTTTGTACTCCCTCGCAAAAACTTTTGCATTTGCTCGCAAAACTTTTGTGTTATTTGCGATTAAACGCAAAGTGTATCAGGGGGGATGGTAACGCAAAACATTTGCCAAATAATTTCCGTCTCATTGTCTTTACACAGGATCAGTAGCAACCCTTTGTGTAAAGATGATACACAACACACAATTGATGATTGTCAATAATACAATAAATATTTATACAGAAAATATGACCAAATTACATACTAACATTTAGAACAACATCCTATGTCCAACATGTGTTGTTGTAAATGTTAGTACACATGTAATTGGTCATATTTTCGAAATAAATATTTATTTTATTATTGTCATAATATAGGCCTATGAGATTTATAATAAGTTGAATTATATAATTAATCCCCATGTGGTAAACAATTACTGACAAAATATAGCAGATACAAAAAGGGACAGCGAATGATATGCATACGTAAAAAGACAGATCAGGGGAAAGCACTCAATAAGTGTAATTCTTCTGTCGTGTTAATTTGACTCACCGCGTCTTCCCAGCCATTGCGGTTCTGAAACAAATGCATGTTGTGCTCCCTGCAATAATCCTCTTCACTGAGATCCAACAACTCATTGACATACTGTCTGCAGGAAGACTCTGTGTTCCCTTTTGCGCTGTCAATAGTCGCATGTTGTTTCTGAGTATCAGTTTCGTCTGATGCACAGGCTTCGGGGATGTTCATTCCGGACAGCTTCAATCACCGTCTAATACAACAACGACAACAATTTCTGCAAAGATAATTTGAGCCTTGCCCTTGAGTTAACTTACCTCTCCTAGTGATTTAGGGTACCATAATGAACTACGGAAAGACTGAAACACAGCAAAATGGGTACATAATGCGTCATACAAATAAAACATGCAATAAGTTGTCTAAATAACTTAAACTTCCAACTTACGTTGTTTTTACAACTCTAAAATCTTAAATGTAGTACTGTTAGTGGACACTAAAAAAAGTGTAAATGCATAAAATGGTATTTTGTGTGAAGTAACCGTGTGAACGGATGTTTGGAGTCCTGTTGTCATGACAACCGTTGGAGCATGACGTAGTGGAAAAAAGACAAGGCGCATGCACTTGTAAGATGCGTCTAAGCAGGTCTGAAGGAGGTTAAAAACAAATTATGTTAAAATTAAATTGAATTATTGCTTATACAATTGTTTTATAGTTTTGGTAAATTATTTTGTAATATGAGCTTTCCATTTGAGGCATTTAGAATGTTTATATTATTTTATTGTTGTATGCTCTTTTTTTCACATGAATCCCTCTTTTAGCTTTACAGAATGAATACCGGAGAGCAGATATACAGGTACATAAATGAATAGGTTTCCCAAGCGTTTTTAAAAACCAAAGTCTGTTTTAGTCAGAAGTGCCATTGCGGCGTTGTATCTAACTAGTGAGACGTGATCGAACGCACGGACTGTGTTGCTGAGGGGGTGTGTGACTACAGGGCTCATGAATATTAATTAGAAACGAGACCTTCTTCGCTTAGTACGATTGGCTGAAAGGTTAGCGTTGGTAATGAGTGCTAGTCAGCTGGCGAATTAACAAAGCTTATGAATATTAGGTACGTTTCTTGACCTCACGATTGACGAAGGTTAACAAGAAACGTCGATTTGACCTAATTAATATTCATAACCTAAAGCTTTGCCATAGTAGGCTTCAGTCGGCGGCAGCATCCACTAAGATTGGTTCAGGTATCCGCAGTACCATCAACGGTCGTAGCTTCCACTCTTCCAGTAGCCTATAATGCAGAAGGACACTTAACATCAGACCTCAACTGAAACATTTACAACGGATTTTTGCAGACTAATTTTATGGAAACCGATGCTGGGGTAATGCTGCCTCCCAAGAACTGCATCCCCAGAAACTACAGTTGTATGGCTGGGCTGTTCGGAAGCTTGGCACCATCAGAGCAAACGCTGGAGGACGGAGAAGAAGACATGGAGGGAGAGGAGGATATGAATGGAGACTGTGAACTATTAGAAATCAGCGTAGTGAATAAAAAGCCGAGAGGAAGAGAGTCATTCCTGAAGCCCCCACTAAGCCCGACGCTGCGCCGCAGGTGCAAGTCTCTCCCCACACCGGCTGAAAGAGCCAAATTAGAGATCGCACGAAACCGGAGCCCAAGCTGTCAAAAAAAGGTACGATTCGCTGACGCTCTGGGACTGGACCTGATTTCTGTCAAACACTTCGATGACACGGATATGCCTGAGGTTCCAGAACGCATTATTGACAAATTTAAAAAAGCCAGAGCTCTCCACTTGAATAACTTCGACAAGTCCAACACATCAAGCCAGTCCGTGTTTATGGAGCTGCTCTTCACCAATCCAGGATCCCTGCCGGACTTCCTGGACAGAGTTATTGCAGTGAAGGTTTTACTGGAGTCTGTTCAGGCTGATGAGTTCAGCATCTCGGGGATCGTGCGAGTTCTTAATTTGGCTTTCGAGAAAAATGTTTATTTGAGGTACACCTTAAATAACTGGACGACATTTGTGGATATTCTGGCGTATTACGTCCCCCGTTCTTGTGACGGACACACGGACAAGTTTAGCTTCAAAATCATCACCCCGACCTTTCTGGAGTTTGGGGGAACACTGCAGTTTGCCATCAGGTACTGTGTCGGAGGAGGTGAATTTTGGGACAACAACAATGGAAGTAATTACAGAGTAAGACGCCACAGGTTTAAAATTTCGCCTCCGAGGGAATGGGAAAACGGTTGGATCCATTTTATTTAGTAGCCTAAGCCTATGCGATTCAGCCGTTCCGCCATGACGATGCTTGGCTCGGAAATATTAATTATGTGACGCCTTCCATTGGCGAATTGGCTAAGTAATAATCATGAGCCAAGCCTTCGCCATAGTAATCTCTCCAACAGTATAACGTTACATTGAGGTTGACCTTCCATAAAAAACGTATGTAGCATTAGCATACCACATATTCGTTAACTGAACACCATTGTTTGTTGTTTGTCTGTGTTTTTTGTCGTAAACTGAACACCATTGATTGTTGTTGGTCTGTGCTTTTTGTCGTGGTTAAATTGATGTCAGATAGAGAAAGGGCAATTCTTATGTCAGTAGCTGCAACCGTAAATTTAGGTAGGGCAGATTCTGTGTTTTAGCGCCAGTTTATGACAAAAAAAAACATGTAAACGTAGCCTATGATATTGTAATCGCTGAACACACGCAGAGCACTCTAGGTTGCGTTCTTCAGCTTGAGGGGGGCGCTCTAATGTTGATTGGCAGGCACGACTCACGCATAACGCTATTTTAGTATTTATTGCCTCCGAATGTTTTAACATAGTACAAGTTGTGAAGGAATTCCAGTGAGGAAAATAAAGCCATGTCCATTCTCAAACAAAACAAACACAATAGGCTATTCACATGTCCTTTCTTTTTAATGTAATACGCTACTCTACATAAAAAGAACAGACATGCCAACTAGTTACTGTCCTGATGCAGACTAGACTAATATACACATAGCTGATTGATATTGTCTTGGTCTGGAGCGAGGTAAGCTAACGTGAAAATAAGCGGGGCAGGAAATGCCTCAATGGCTCTCAATTAGAGCGCCCAGTAGTTCCATTTTTCAACACAGATTTACATTGGGGAAATTGTGGGGCGCTGTAGAGCTGGGGAAGTCTCAGGCACCCGCTGGCTCGCTTAGTATAGGCTAACATGTTTTATAAATAATTAATCAATTAGGCTAATTATTAAAAATAATAATTTTTTTATATATCCTGTTCACATTACGACATAAAATAGTATTTAAAATCAGAAAAATATATATTGCAGAAATCTGAACAATTTTACAATGTATTATTGATTCAGTTTATATAGCCAGAGGTCTATTGTGTTTTTACCCCTTCCCTTACAGACGAGCCGCGGCTGGTCAGATAGCTATCTACCAAGTGACGAATGTAACATTAGGCATATTTCCATCGGTGTAAAACTGATTGTTTAGCATGTTTGTTTGTACATGGATGGTCATAGAGACAAAACCCCGGTCTGCATTCCTTAAAAAGAGCAGGACCATTTAAATGAATCCAGTTTGCATTTAGCTTCAATGCATGTAATAGGATATTGTGTTATAATTACATAATCCCCAGTGCGCCTGTTATTCTTCAGCTCAAGTGAAATCATGTTTACATGTTGCTTCAGCATCACTGTGCTTGTTTCACATTAAATTGCAGCTAAGGGTAAAGGTTAGGCTACATCTGAGGAAAATTCTGACATAATAAATCAAACCTTTTAGATGATAGAGACAAGTACGTTTACAAAGCCAGTTGACTTGCTGTAGCAACCATGTGCAGCAGTTAACTTAAACACACAATTTCTCATCCTTAGGAAACAAACAGGCTATTGATTTTGTATCTTACTATTAAAGTCAGCATGAAACTACCCTATCTCTTAAAGGGATAGTCCACACCAAAAATAAAAATTCTCTCACCATTTACTCACCCTCATGCTACCCCAGATGTGTATCTTTCTTTAGATGAACGTAAACAAATATATTTTTTTACAAATATCTCTGAGTGTTTGAGTGTCCGAATGTTGACGCTTCAAAAAGCACACACAGATATCAGGATGGTAATCCATATGACTCCAGTGGATGAATCTTCTGAAGCAAAACGATAGGTGTAAGAAAAATACTTATAGTTTTAACTTTTTAAAACTATAAACAATCACTTCCAGCGAACTGCCATATGACATTAACAAAAACTGTATTTTTATTTATTTATTTTTGGTGTGGACTATCCCTTTAAAGCACGTTATTGGTCTTATTGTAAAAGATTCATCCTTGCATAATATTTGTTGTTGTTGTTGTTGTCTTTGACATTGTAATCTTTAATCTAATCATAGACTCCGTGGGTCTTCCTGTGATATGATTTATTCTCTTTTTAATCAGATCATTATATTTCTTGAACATATTGAAGAAATATTTTTTTGGAACAAAACCAAATGAGTATAGGTATTTTCAGGGATAATTAACATTTATAAAGCCCAGTATCAGCTTTCATGCTGAAACGGTAGAAAGTGCTTAATATACCTCACATTGTGTAAGCTAGTATGTCTTGGCTGAGCCAAGCGTTATTTTTTAGTTACTTAACCTTTGTATAGTATCAGTAAAGTATTTCAAGCCATGCCTGTAATTTGGTCATTTCAATAGATTTCAATGGTGCAAGCACATTAAAACAGTTATATCAAAGAATGTTCCTATTACCTGTAGGTTTAGGCTTGTGAACTACTGCCACTGAAGCTGAGATATAAGACAGGGCAGATTCAATGCCTTCCTGATCCTCTTGTACTCTGCTACAGTGGGTTGAACATAGAAAATGATGTCACCAAAACACCATATTTCATTAGTGCCCTATTTAAACATTTTGAGCCATGAGTCAAAATTTTAACATTTTTCTTTTAAGATTTGTTTGGGTCTTCAGCAGCACTTTTGAGAAGTTTATTACTGAATGACAAATGATTGTAACGCTGAACCTTTTGCAAAAAAATGAATAGAGCATCTGCCTGAAAAGTTATACAGTTCAGAAAGGATTCAGAACCCTTATTTTTTCACATTTTGTCATGTTGCCGACTTATACTAAAATAAATCATCTCAAAGATGATCCAGAGAAATGGGATGCACCTAAACTAAATTTCAAGTGTCATAGCAAAGGGTTTGAATACATATGTCAATGTGATATTTCAGCTTTTATCCATTTTATCTTGATCTGAATGCATATGTATATGTATACTTGCACAAATGAACATCCTGTTTTGTTTAACATCCAAACATCCATTCTTTGTAATGTTTTCTTTATTGCCTGGGTTTATTCTTCTTCAGTCATTCTTCTTATAGTCACTCTTTCAAAGTAGGGATTTGTGACAGTTTGGAGGCAAATCGAAGGAATAAGCTTTCTATTTTAAGTTCTTGTTGTACTGTTGTATTGTTTAAAGGTAACTTGATCCTTGTGGAAGAAAAACCTGAAATTACCTTTTCACAAATTACATTCT